TATACTTATAACCATTTATTATCCATCAGCTTCTCTAACTCAATAGTTTATCAACATTTTCAGTAGGATCATGCTTGGTTCTATTTAATAAATCTTACATTTTGCTATTAGCTGTTTTGGGGCAATTATGAGAGTCTGAATTCTAAATGTATTACTTAGTAATGCCAGACTTAGCATTCTGCGTAGGCCTCAAATAAACCCTACTTTGAGCATATGAAAAAAACGCCTTCTCATTTTGCTTTCCTAATCATTCTATAACGACCTATATTATTGGATAAGGTGAGAACACTTAACAATGACTTTAGGTGTTCCATTTTAGAAGTGTTGTTTTCCTTCTTATCCTGTCTCAAAACATCTCAAATCCAGATGCTCCATGGCAGATGGAGCAGTGATGTGTTTGGTCTCAATTGGCCCAGCAGATCTGCTTTGGGATCACCTCTTCTATCTGTTCCCTGGGCTTTGTGCCTATTCTGCATTGCTGGTTTCGGCTGCAAGGAGATTGGAACTCCAGCTTTTGCAGCCATTTTCTTTCTTCTTTCAATGGGTTGGTTGACCCCACTATACAGGCTATATAAGTACAAGCACAGAGTTATGCGATGAAACTTTCAGTTACGTACATTAAGCAAAGGATGGGCTCAGTTATTTCAGAGCTTTGCATTTTCTAAGTCAATTGCTCAACCAACCCATGCTCAGAAGTCCTAGTTTAACCATTACTAATCTGTCCTCACTTTCAGTCTTAATTTTCAAGTAGTTACGTAGTTTTTATAGTTTTATGTACTGACAATTTGTTGCCCATTCCACTATGCTCTTATTTGTGATAAGTTCTAGATTTTAAAGGCTGAAACCTTAGTGGAAATTATTAACCCACATTCCTCCTTCTCAGCTGCAAAACCTGATGCATTTATTCTCCCAGATTAATTTTATTTTGGGAATAAAATGAAATAAGTTGAAGTGGTCTGTTACAAAGCGGCATTCCCAGGCAAATGCTGTAAACGAGAATTGTGCCGGTTCATTGAGCACTGGTTTCAGGAAATTATATGTTGAGTTTCTTAAAATGGAGTAGCTAGTTGAGAAACTTGATTGCAAAATCCCCATACACTTAGAGATCATATATAATTGTAGTTGTATTCTCAGATTTCATGTTCTCCTTTTACTTGTTCTGTGTATGTAGGCAGAGCTTAAGAGTGCTGGAAATAAATAGTACCATTCATTCCTGCAGTTTTAGCCCATCTTATAGTAGAATAAGAGCATAACGTGAGTAAGGTGCATGGCGATTTGTTCCATATATTTGAGTTCCATCACAGACCTCTGAAATGTTGGACTATTAGCTTGATGACAAGTACTATGCAGTTTACACATGACTCTTCAAATTCAGCCCCCCCCCTTTCTTTTTGTTGGACAACCATTTTCCTTCCTACCTTTTCTGATGAAGGGAAGAAGAAAAACCTGTTTAACATTTCACAGCATATTAATGTTTGAAGACCCAATTTTAATCAGAGATCATCTATTTGCAAAATATCATGCCAAGCAGATAAGAACCTTGAAATGAATAATTTGCTCACAACTGAAAAATGACTTGAGAAGGAAGATTTCTTCTACCTAAAGTCTACTTTTCATTAAGTCTTGCTCGGCCCTCCTTTTCGAGACCCTGACTTCATGTGACCCAGGGTCTTATCCCCTAATCCCCTATTACAAAGGAAACTGTTCAGGAATTGTGAATCCAGAGTGTTTATCACTCAAGTGCTCCAGAGAATCCCTGCACTCTGGGTGATGTTGTCTATAGGAGAGAAGTGGTATTAGCTTTCACATGTGCCACCATCAGAAGTTCACAATGAAGCCAGCCCATATCCTGTAGGAGGCAGAGAAGCTTTCCACCTGCAGGGTGTCTTACACCTGTGAAGGTTTCTTGTGATTTTTAAAATTCATACAGTCATTTATATGCTTCCTTTTGAAACAGATGGAAAGGTGGAATGGAAAGGTGGTATCTGGAGATGGTTGGGATGTTAGAATTCTCCATGAGAGTCCCTGTGATCCAAACCTTGCTCAGACTTCCCCAGAGCAACTTTTCTCATAACCAAAAGAATATCCATGTTCATTACATTCAGAGCTAGTTGCCCCCCCCCCCCCCCCCC